GTGACCAGCTCGGCAGCTGGGACCGCCACTTCATGACCACAATGTGGCCAATGCGGCACACAGGACAGTCAGGACCATGTCCACAATGTGACCAGTTCGGCAGGGAGGACCGCCACTTCATGACCACAGTGTGGCCAAAGCGGCAGGGGGGACCGCCACTTCATGACCACAATGTGGTCAGGCCGGCAGGAGGGACCCGGGTCGACTAATCCGACTACCTTATTTTGAGACGGGGAATCGAATGAGCACCTCCTAGGTTTTTAGGCGTTATCTCCTTACAGTGTGCCTTTAAAGTATATTTGACATCACCATTGGATAGCTTTTGGAGAGACCTTTCAAACGAGGTTAAGGTTGATAGGGTTCAGAGCTCTGGAAACGTGACAAGCAAACCACGCTTCAGAACCCTATCAACCTTAACCTCGTTCGAAAGGTCTTTTCAAAACCAATCCACTCTGGAATCTCAAATGTGGGACAGTAGGACAGTTTAAACTGTCAGCCCACTGTTTTTCACACTTCCTCAAACTATTTTCTCTCCTTCAAAGAAAAAACAATCACCCCCCGTCTTCCTCGTGAAATTCCGGTTCAAACGAGTATATGTATGATGGGGTTCTGATCGCAAACAACGACACCATGAGGACTTTTGGTAATAACCATCTTGTTAATAATTAGATGTATTGCTGGGATTGTTGCTCTGAACCCCATCATACATATACTCGTTTGAACCGGAATTTCACGAGGAAGACGAGGGTGATTCCAAAAATTGTTTTTTCTTTAAAGGAGAGGAAGTAGTTTTAGAAAGTGTGAGACATAGTGGGCTGACAGTTAAAACTGTCATACTGTCCCACACTTGAGATTGCAGAGCAATGGTGATGTCGGATACACTTTACACTGTAAGGAGATAACGCCCAAAAACCTAGGAGGTGCTCATTCGATTCCCCGTCACAAAATAAGGTAGTCGGATTAGTCGACCCGGGTCCCTCCTGCCGGCCTGACCACATTGTAGTCATGAAATGCAGTTCCCTCCTGCCGGCCTGCCCACATTGTAGTCATGAAATGCAGTTCCCTCCTGCCGGCCTGACCACATTGTGGTCATGAAATGCCGGTCCCCCTGCCGGTCTGACCACATTGTGGACATGAAATGCCGGTCCTCCTGTCGGTCTGACCACATTGTGGTCATGAAGTGTCGGTCCCACCTGCCGCTTTGGCCACATTGTGGTCATGAAGTGTCGGTCCCCCCTGCCGCTTTGGCCACACTGTAGTCATGAAGTGGCGGTCCTCCCTGCCGAACTGGTCACATTGTGGACATGGTCCTGACTGTCCTGTGTGCCGCATTGGCCACATTGTGGTCATGAAGTGGCGGTCCCAGCTGCCGAGCTGGTCACATTGTGGACATGGTCCTGACTGTCCCGTGTGCCGGGCTGACCACACTGTGGACATGGCGAGGACTGCTGCACTCCCCTCCTGCCGGGCTGACCACACAGTGGGCATATCGGCCGCTTTTAATGCCCTATGCGACCGCCAGGCCCTCAAATCCGCCGGTCCCTGCTGCCGGGCTGTCCACATTGTGGTCATTGCCTTGGTAGGGGCTGAAGGAGCCGTCTGACCTGTAACCTGGAATTGCCTGGAATTCTTACAGGTTTCTTCTACCTAAAGCCGAAGAGAGTAGCCTCCTCGCCCATTTCCCTGACTTTCTAAAAATCTTTGAACATTGAACAAAAAATGCCCACATTGTGGACACGTCGGCAGTAGGGACATTTGGCCATGACCACAATGTGGTCAAGCCGGCCCCAACGTGTTTATGTGATTCGAATCATTGAAATCATTCTTCCTTTTCTATACTTTTTTTCGATTTTTATTTTCTAATGTTTGGGGGTTCCT